TGGAGCACATATAATGCCTTCTATGGAATGACCATGACTACTCCAGGCATGCTTTAATAGCATGAAATATGACATATTTGTTAAGAAAACAAACCAGAAAGAGAGGCTACCACAATATATAGAGATCATTTTTCCTGTTAAAGTTTAAACTTGGAAAAATTAGCTAAAGAGAGAACCGTTTTCTTTTTACCTGTGCCAAATATTGCAGAATATATATTTTCAGAAAAACCTCTCCATTTAGAGTCTTTAAAACTTGAAACTGAAGAGGCCCAAATGGAAATGTAGTTTTCTATAATTCATGAGCCTTTATCTGTTATTAGATTGTAAAATTTTTGATGGTATATGTTTATGTATACTTTATGTATTGCTCATAGTAAGAACTCAAAATCAACATTTGAGAAAAATTGGGTTTAATTTACTTTTTTTCTTTGCCTTTGATGGTTTAAACCCATCTTCACAAAATCTAAGAAGGTAAAAAAGAATAGGGGTACTTTGTCACTTTCTCTCTTATCATTTTCCACATGACTATCAAATTTTTAAAATATAAACTAATCATGTTTCTTTCCTACTTAAAAACCTCTTAATTTGTGAGATAATGGGCATAGAGGAAGGGTAACCTTTTACTTTTATGTTATAAACTTCTGATAGATATGAATTTGTTACTATGAATGCATTACTTTGCAGCAAGAGAGAAAAAACACACCGAAATTTAACATAGGAAAAAAAAAGAAAAACAAAGATTGCAGTCCAAATTTCCCACAGGATAAAGTTTGAATGCCTTAGCCAGGTAGATAGGGTCTTTAACCTGAGATTTCCAATTTCCTTGTTAAGCTTCACCTCCTCACCTACACCCTTCCACTCTGCCCACACACGCACATACCCCTACTCTCCAGTGACATATAACTATCTTTTCTAAAGACATCGTGATTTTTCCCTCCAACTTGCTTTCTCGTGTGTACTTCACTCAATCTAAAAAGCCCTGCGCTCCCTCTTGTTTCCAATGAGATTCCTTCAAGACTCAGCTGAAAATAAACGTTTTTAGTCTATGGCAGAATTGTGCTCTCTTCTCTGTATACCACAGGGCTTTATTATACTACAGCTTCCCCTATTAAATTGTGGTCAGAGCAAAAACCATGAGTCACACTTTAGACATCTTCATACCTCTCTTCCTCTCTCTTTTTCCTCCTCTTACCCCTATGCTTGTGCCTGACACATAGAAGGCATTCGGTAAATGCTTGTTGAATGAATAAATAAATGAATGCATTAACAAATTAATATCTTTTTCTAAGATAACAGAGCTCCGGTCTAGTGAATAAATATTGTTAAAGTGGCTAATAAAGAGTAAAGGTCATTCAGCCTGAGAAACAGCGCACTGTATTGGATAGAACTCTAGCTTTGGAGTGAGACAGAGCAAGGTTTTTTTTAGCATCCACCAGTTCCTAGCTGTGTGACCTTTGGCAAGTGACCTCACCTCAGTGGGCTTCATTTCTTTGATTTATATGATGTGGCTAATAATATCTACCTTGCAGACAGTAGAAAAGACCTGAATCACCTAGCCCAATGTCTGGCAAAACCCAGGCGCTCATTAAATTAAATGCTAGCTATTATTGTTAGTTTTATCAGTTCATACAATGTTTCAGTTTCGTATGTTTGTTACCACTACACATTTATCTATGCTTCCTGTCTAATGCCTGCTAATTTTTTCTCCTTTATCACATTGTAAACCTCTCATGCTATACTCTAGATACTGTCCACAGTAGGCCACATACTAGATTTTTAACTACTGGGTTAGAACTGTGGGTTATGGTGAAAAGAGCACTGCATTTGAAGTCAGGAGATCTGAGTTATGTAAAGTAACTTTCCTTTCTCTGGACCTCCTCAGCTCCTTCATTTATAAAATTAGGATAATAGACTTGAATCTTTTATAACTCACAAATTCTGTGATTCTATGATTAGATAATTGATCCTTTTTGTGAAATAAAGAATTGCACTGTAGTTAAATAAGCTTCTAGAGCCAGATAGACAAATGTAGGGCCCAGGTATGTTGACCAACCAGCCCAGTTTTTCCAGAACTGTCCCAGTTTTAACACAGACAGTCCTGTGTCCCGTGAATCCTCAGTCCTGATGGAACCAATACAGTTGGTCTTCCTAGCTCCAGGTAGTTTGACAAATAAAAGATATTTTTTCTTTGTAGCTGCTTAAATTTTTTTTTCTCTTGAATTCCACATTGAAAAATAGTATTTGGTCTTGGTGGTAGAGATGAGCAATTGAGTAGAAAAAAACCCAGATGAGCCCATAACATACAAATAAGCACCTTCTCTCGGTAATGATAATTCAATGTCATTGAATCAGTTGCTGTGGAGAACTTTCACGTACCAGCCACTATGTCAGGCTATGCTGCCAAGGGTAGGGATGTAGAAGATTCTCTCTCTGCTCCCAGGCTAAGTATTTGTGTGGGGGTGGGTGGGGAGAATGTAGGACGTATATCTAGGGGAAGGTCCCCACATACCACAAGCTGGTGTATAATGAGGAAATACATTAGACTGTTCAGGGAAGGAAGGGAAGTCCAGTGAGGACTAGAAGAGGTAGAGTTTAAGGCTGCACATGATTTGGATTGGTTATGGATGTGGCTAAGCAGACAATCTGAAGGGGGGTGCACATGCTGCTAGATAATGTACAAGTCTTATAAGTAACTGACTGTTTATAGACTGCCAAATACCATAAAAAAATACCATGGAATCTGAAAGAGGGCTGTGCCATTAGTTAAACAAAAGTAAATCCTCCAAGAAATGGAAAGAGAAGTTTGGGAGTGAATAGGTTGGTGAGGAGGTTGGATGTGTGATCAAGGGAACTGGAGAAACAGGACTAGTATCGAAATGGTCCCTGCAAGTTTTCTTCTGAGTTTTTCCATCCTTTTTAGGGTTATCTCTCTTAGCTCTCTGCTGTCACAATCTTGTTTAGCCCTCGCCACTGCATTAGGGAGATTGGCATGCTGTGGGGGAAAGGACACAGGCTTTGGTGGCCAAACAGGCCTCTACTACTTACTCACTTTGTGACTTTGGGCAAGTGCACTAGCCTCACTGGGATTCTGTTTGCTCATTGATAAAATAAGAGCAAACATACCTACTTCACTGGGTTGTTCTGAAGAATAATGAGATAGTTAATGTGTATAACATGTCTGATATTATAGCTGGAACATATTAGGGGCTCAATGAATAGTCAGTTCCTCACCTATCTCCTTCTAGGGTTATGATCATGTATTTGATTATTTGTCTAAGTAAGAGGCAGAATCTCCTTCAAGTGGCCTCCAAAAGAGACTCCCAAAAGAGAGTTGAAAACACAGAGGAACCATATTAGAATTTACTTTGACCACTCCTCGTATCTTACCTGGAGATCCCACCCCCTCCACACATCCCACCCCGTAGTTTGTGTGTGTGTGTGTGTGTGTGTGTGTGTGAGATTTAAGTTAGGACACTAACAGCTCTCAGATCCATAAGGACATAAGTTCCTTTCCTTGGCTTGGCTCTCCTTGTGTGTCATGCAAGCAGCATGGCAAGCAGGGCAGGGCAAGCTGTATAAGTAGGAGAGGTACAGTTGGTTACTAATGATCTGCATGCCACCCCACTCCTGTGCACCAGCAAGAGCAGATTAACAGGCATGAGCTCTAGGGCAAATTTCCCTGGTGCAGGGAAAGACCTTGTCACTTTACCAGGAAAGCTAGGCCATTGAGGGGTCTCATTACCTTCTCCATTGCCTTTGTTTGGTTAACTTATGAAGTCCAAGAAGTTTGCTTTCAAAGCTGTTCAATATCTCTGTCAGCGCTCCCTTAATTTTTGTAGGTATTTCCCTCTCCCCTCACCCCTGACCTCAGTACCCCCTAGCCCTCCCCTGAACCTTTCCCAACCTGCCTCTCAATCTCCCCCAAAACCTCACCTCAACCTTTCCTCTACCATCTCCCAAATCCCTCCATACCTCACCCAATCTCCCTTCACCCCAACCATTTCCCTACTCTCCATCTCTCCCTACCCCATCACCCACTGACATGTTACTACCCCTGGAATATTCAGGACCCCACTCAAACTTTGAGCCTTTTCCAGTCTCTTCTCTCCCTCCCAACTTACTTGTCCTTATCCTCTTCCCTCAGCTAAGCCAAGAAATAATTCAAACAGTGAAAATTACCAATGTTTATTGATTTTTTAAAAATATCACTTGCAAATTTATTTTCTTTATTGAAAAGATGTTGCAATTGTGTGATAAAGAAAATCTTGATGAGAGAAAAATCAAATCAGTCTAACAACTACACTTTTTCAATGTTAGTTTCTAATATCTATTCTCATGCATATTGTTAGTATAAATTGTAATTAAAGCAGTCCCACATTAATGCAGGGTTCAAAGAGGGGGGCATGCAGGGTTGGTGGAAAAAAGCAGCTCAAAGTTGTCAGGTTCAGTCCATGATCCAGGAGGCAGTGTTGTTGTACAGGTAGCCTTAGTTCATTGTCAGAGATTCATTTGAAGATTCTGGGAGCAGCAAATGCTAATAATAGCTGAGGTAACAGAAGACAGGTTGCCAGGAGCAGTCACTAGGACACCAGATCTACCCAGCAATTATTTCATCACGATGTCTTCTATTCCACCTATGCCTGAAGCAATTGTAGTGACAATAACAGGATGGAAAGGACACAGTGCGGGTACTCCACTCGATGTTTGGGTCATGTGTTTCAAGCCAGTGGATACCAAGAATCAGAGGGTACCGTGGGGCGTGAATAATATCAAACTGGAGCTCTTCAACGTGGTTTCCAATTTTAACTTCAACAGGTGGTGTTTCCTTGGTTATGGGTCCATTAATCAGTGGACGGCCATCTACAGTTTCAAGCATCAGAGGGAAGATGTTATTGCGGATGGGCAGCTTCTCTCGAAGAACCACAGAATGGTCAATGCTGTTTCTGTAGGAGCCTGAATCCACCATTGCTTGCTCAAAGAACTGTCGTCTTCCCAGTCGGATTTCAACAGTAAGCCATAGTGTACGGGACATGGATATTGGAAGTGAGGGGGATGCATATTTGTAGATTGGCCCGCTCGGGTTCCCCCTTACCGCCGGGCCTCGATGTTTCCCGCCTGCTGGGCACGATGAGGTTTGACAGGGCAATCTCTGGCAAAATGACCAGGATGACCGCAGTAGAGGCACAAGTGGCCTTCACGGCGGCGGGCCCGTTCAGCTTCACTGAGGTGTGGGCGATTGCTTGCAGCCTGCACAGGTTGATTTTCAGCTGGTGGACTCTCAGGCCCAGCTCTCTCCTCAGAGGAACTTGCCCCTTGTGGATTTGGATCAGGCTTACCTGTTAGCTTCTCTTTTAGGCTGATGCACTGGGTGATCAGACCAGATAGATTGGTGGCTGGGCTTGTGCGAGACAGTTCCTCTCGGATAGCACTGGCAAGCCCTTCCTGAAATTGGATGCAGAGAGTGCTTTCATCCCAGTTTAGCTCTTGAGCAATGAGGTGGAAGTGGGTCGCATACTGATGGACAGGGTCCTCCCCTTGGCAGAGCTGACGGATGCAGTGGTTGGCATCTTGCATGTTTTCTGGATTATCAAAAGTATCCTGGAGCACTTGTATGAAACTTTCAAATTGCTCCAGCAGGGGGCTTTGGATATCTACTAATGGCTGGAACCACCTTCCTGCCTCACCTGAGAAGCGGTTGCCAACAAAGCTCACAAGGGCTGCTTCGGTGGGATACAGGTGCCCTCTGACTCTCATATAACTATTCAATTGAACCAGGAACTCAGGAAGCTTCTGGGCATCCCCACTGAAGGCTAAAGGGTATTCTAGAGGGAAAGCTTCGGCCTCTAACCCCCTGGGGGACTGTGGGAACTCTGGAGTTGCTGATGTCTCAGTAGCTAGTAGGCCCTCCAGGGGTTCCTGGGGCGCTCGAAACTCCAGAGGCTCCTGGGGAGCCAGAAGCTCAAGGGGCTCCAGGTATATTGAGCTCTCCTGGCATTCTGGTGCCTCATGGGGCTCCAGGGCATTTGAGGGATCCTGGGGCTCTGAATTCTGGGGGTCCTGGGTATCTGGGGGCACCTGGGCCTCCTTGATTTCTGGGGGCTCATGGGCCTCCTGGGCCATTAGGGGCTTCTGAGGCTTTTTGGCCTCTAGGGGCTTCTGAGGCTCCTTGGCCTCTGGGAGCTTTGGGGACTCCCAGGCTGCTGAGAGCTCATGGACCATTGGAGATGCCTGGGGTACCTGGGTTGCTGGGGGCCCCAGAGATTCTGGGACTGCTGGGAGCTCTGAGGGCTTTTGGTTATCCTGGGCCACTGGGGTCTCTTGGGGCTTCTGGGCTGCTGGGGTCTCCCAGGCTAGGAGCTCCTGGGGCTTTCTGGGCTTCTGGGGCTCCTTGATCTCTGGGAGTTCTTGGGGCTCCAAGGCTGCTGGGGGATCCAGGGGCTCTGGGGGTTTCTGGGGCTCCTGGGCCTCTGAGGGCTTCTGGAGTGGTTCATCCTCCTTGGCTGCTTGGGGCTTCTGGAGCTGTGGGATCTGGGCCTGCAGGGCAGCATTTTCTTCCATAAGCTGCTGCACTTGGGCCTGCAGAATTTCATTCTCCAATTTCAGAGCAATATAGGAGGCTGCTAAGTCCTCTACCATCTTTTGAGGAAATGGGCTTGGTTTGGCAGTTTGCTGCCAAACGAGATTGGGTGGACAACTGTGAGGTCTTTCTGAAAGTTCCTCACCAGCAGATGTTAGGCTATGTGAGTTTTCCAGGAGGTAGGTATTTGGGCCCTGCCGAGGTTGATTACCAGGAGGTCACTGGGCCTCTGGAGCTCAGCAAAGAGAGGTGTCAGATACACTGTGAAGAGAGTGGGATCTGAGGATCAGAAACTATGGAAAGCACTCATCCAAAATAAATCAGAACAAAATCTGCCCAACAGTGCTGAGTTTCTTTTACTATAAGCTCATAGTCAAGAGCTAGGTCATACATGCTGACTCTGACCCCACGACATTTTAAGAACAGCATCTGACCGAAACCATGTATGTCATTTTGCATTCTTCTTTTGAAACTTAACATTATATTAGAAGTAATTTCTCCATAGTCTTTTCTGTTTTACGTAATCTTTAATTTCTAATGTCTAATATCCCAATGTAACACTTGGATTTTTAACAGCTGCTTTCAATGGCTAAATCAAATGTTTGAGCAATGTGGGGATTTTAGACTCTGTGGTGGGCCAGCCCAAGAGATATTTTTGGGTGGCTAGGGTAAGAGCTGGGGGGGTACTCTTTCTGGCACCTCAGAAATCATACCACATAAGTAACCGCACAAGACCAGCCAGGAGAAAACAAGCAAAAGTTGACTAAATATATATATACACTCAGCAGACACATGCATATTATTTATAAAATGCCTCAAAATAGTTAAGAAAATAATCTTTATAAATGTACATTACCATTCAGAGATTTAGTCCAGAAGCTTGGCTGTCTGCGTACCCATCGCTGAGGAGGGAAGTGTGTGAATGGCTGTGGAGGCTTGCCTTTTCTGCACACACTGAACTCAAACAAACACACCCACTCCCAGAACACGTTCCAACTCTCCTCCGTAACGTAGCTATTTCGAGTCTGGAAGAGTTTTTTTTGACAGTACCTCACAGTTTAAGAGCCGCAAGGAAAGTAGGATGCTGCACTGATGTGAGGCAGCCTCATGTACTCAGCCCTTGGTTACTTTAATAAATATTTGGCCAGGAAATTGGGAGTAATACCACTGCTCTTGTGAAAAGTTGCAAACATTTCTGAATGACCACAGTGGTTTGGGACTTTATTTTTTATGTCTGTCTCATGAAACCTTCTCTCACTCTATCCACACTAGACTGTTTGTTTAATTCTCACTTAGAGAGCAGCCTGCAGCCCCTCAGCCCCTTCCACTGCCCACCTACTCAGTCCCTAGGGTCCCTCCTTACAATGTTTTCTTGGAAACTTTACCATGGACAGATCTAGGCGAGGTATATTAAGGTAAGATTGTGGAGGAGGCCAACTTTGTTGAAGGGTACTTGAAGCAGTTTTGCAGGGCCCCTGGCTCCTTCTGAATATCTTGGCCCAGTGTTCTCATCCTTCCCTGAACCACTCAGGTGCTCTAGGCAGCACCCAAGTAGCCCACTGAGGGCTGGCCTCTTGAGGAGTGACCTTGCTCAAGATCTGACCTTCTCTTCTCCTGACAAATCACAGTCACACCCTGGGCATGGGCCATGTGGCCATTTTAGGTAAGGCTCAGGGGCAGCTATTTTCATCCTAGTAAGGAATCGGGTTAAGAATTGTCTTTGGCCACTTCAAATCACACATCAAGTCAGTCATGGTCCCAAGTGTCCTTTAAAAATGGTCAGTTCCACATTAGTCAGCATGATGGGACAAACTCTGGTGATGGAATATGCCCAAACCACAGCAAATTGACAGACCGGACTAGCTGAACCCGAATGCAGAGGCTTTGAAAAGAAAAGTAAAATCTTTTGCAAATCGAGTTATATTCCCTCCCTCCCTTTTAGTATTTTATTCTTTGGAAACACACTACGCACAAAAATACCACCATCATCAGGGAATAATGTGTTCTTTTTTTTTTTAATTTAATTTTTTTGTTTGTTTATTGCAGTAACATTGGTTTATAACATTGTATAAATTTCAGGTGTACATCATTATACTTCTATTTCTGCATAGATTACATCATGTTCACCACCCAAATACTAATTACAACCCATCACCACACACATGTGCCGAATTATCCCTTTCGCCCTCCTCCCTCCCCCCTTCCCCTCTGGTAACCACCAATCCAATCTCTGTCTCTATGTGTTTGCTTGTTGTTGTTATTATCTACTACTTAATGAGGGAGATCATAATGTGTTCTTCTTATGCGAATTTTTCAGATAACTGAAGCCTTCCCTTTGAGAATCCAAAACACACAGTTATGTCTACCTTACCAATTAAAAAAATCAGAGACTTATTTATAGCATGCATTACTCTTCTTTCTCCATTCTTAAGTAGATGATTTTGAACATAATTTATTTTTAATGGTTTAATGGGTTAAAGAGCTTACACAAACCAGCTCTTTTATTGTGTTGTAACACCGTGTTGCCTTCTGAAAGTTACTGAGAGGTATAAAGTGTCCTGTTTCCAAATTAAATACTTCCAAATTACTATGCTTTCCAACTTGTAATTTATTTTTCCTTTGTATTTTTTCTACTCCTTTGCTATCAGGCTGTCACATAGCTCTTCACACTGCTACCTATATGCCTGTCTATACTAAGTATAGACAAATTTGGTAAATTACTTAGTCCTTCTAAAATTTAATCTGAAACTCAGTTTGTGAGACTGTAAAATGGAGCCATTAACTGTACTTAACTTCACAGAGTTGTTGCAAAGATTTAGTGAAATAATGCATGTACATGGCTTAGCACAGTGTCTAGCAGCTAGTAACACCCAATAAAAGTTTATAATAATAATAATAATAATAATAATAATAAGAAGAAGAAGAAGAAGAAGAAGAAGAAGAAGAAGAAGAAGAAAAGAAAAGCAGCAGCAGCTGTAGCAGCGGTAACCACATTTTATTCTTTTTAATCATCTGTGAATTGGGAAACTGGATAGATAAATTAGCTAGAATTGTGTAGAGGCTGAACATGGCCTCTCATTTATTTCTACAAAGAAATCTACAGTGCATGGATTTGATGGCATTGATTTTTCACCACTCAGGAGCTTTTGTTTTTCTCCAGGCTGGGTTATGGATGATTTAGTTTACCAAATCATTCTCTAAAATTAGAACTGGAGGCACCTGAGCAGGATGATGAGATGGTTAACAAGGGGACTGTGGAGATAGATATTCAAGTCCGTTGACTAAAGCACTGAACAGTGCTTTGCCTACAGGCATATTTATCTAGTGGGTAAACACAGGGACCTTTCTCTTCCCCTAACTCCTCGCCTCTGCTAAAGAGCAAAGGCCAAATTCAATGTCCTTTAGTACAAGTTCCAAACTGCCTAAACATAGAGAATTATTCTCTTTTGAGTAGAAACAAGAGCTACACTGACTTTTGTCAAAATTCCTAAAGTAGTTTTAATATCCTGAATTAGTCAAGTAAGAATAGGAAAGTAATCACATCCAAACTCGCATCATGTTTCCCGTACACTTTAATCCTTCTTCTTACACTCACACCATGATGGAATTTATGGACCCTTTGGAATGGTTATGAAAACATTTTAAGTAAATGAGGTTTTGTTAACTGGGCAAATAAATTTTTAGGGAAAAAAAGATGACAAATATGTTCATTTAACAGATATAAAAATACTGCACAGTTATGCTCAGTTATGTTAATAAGATACACATGATGATTGTTGGCTTAGGGAGAAAGGGAAGGGAAAGGTTGAATAAGATGAAATTCTACTTTGTACATTGCACTAGGAATCACAATTTTAATTTGTCAGCAAATGTACAATCCGAAGCATTTTAGGTCTCTGCTGGGGTCTTCCTCCCCAAAGCTGGCTGGGCTGCATCTTCAAGCAACTCAAGCTCCTGCCCCTCCCTCTTCCCGCCCTGGAAAAGAGTCAACAGGACAGGTTACCTTACCCCACAGGTCTCTGGCATAATGCCCAGCTACCCCTTGGGGACAGTCCCACCCTGGCGTCTGTTTTGTTCAATATGTTATTTCTGTGGTTGCATTAGAGCTTGTAGCACTTTCTTACGTTTAACCCATAATGTGCTTTGTACACGACTGAAACTTTTCATTGTCATCAGCACTATACAGCACTGGGAAAATGGGAGTTCCCAATTCCTTCAGCAGTTGGAAAGCTTTCCAAGAATTCTCCTTACTCATATGACTGGGATCCGGAGCACCTGGTAATGAAATAGGAACAGGGTCTACCCAAGTAAAACTCAGAAGGAGTCAATATTTTTCACCCTTTAATCTCCCTTTATGACATTTACCATCCTCTCATTTTATTTTTTGTCCTATGGTACTTAGATGGCCTTTCCCCTCGATCAGCTGTCACTTTGGGAAAATGAATCCCTACTGAGATACTACCTCAGAGAGTTCTAAAAGGAACCTGCTTGGGGTGTTTGCATTTTCATAAGATGTTCTAAAAGGCTGCAACCCCTTCAAAACCCTTCTGTTGGGAGAGATATTCTGGGACAGAGATACTATTTTGAGATCCTTCAGATTACACCATTCGGGTGACCCTATAATTTGTTTCCTTATAAGGCTGGCCCAGTGTGGCTTCTAACGTTAGCAGATTTGCTTAATGATTTCAATACTCTGGCTTCATTTAACCTTGGTTATGTGCTGACCAGGCTGCCTGAGCTAAGGGTTGATGCAGCCACCATCACAGCCTAACAGGGGAATAGGGGACCTTTGCTATAACCCAGCTCCTGGAGATGTCCCTCTTGTAGGGATCTAGCCCTCTACTCTACTTCCTGGATCCCTACTCTCTGGTGTTTGCCAATGCTGGTTCACCCAGAAAGCAGACTAAGTCTGAGCTGATGGCATCAGCAAGGCAAAAGAGGGAGAAGGAGAAGGAAAGGGGGAGGGAGGGTGGAAGGAAAACAGAGGCAGGGGAGGGGAGAAGGAAAAATAATATCAGAAAATCTAGAAAGAAGATTAAAAAACTCAGCATATGTACATTTTGGTCAGTTAAAAATAAAATTTAATTTTATGGTTTAGCATTTTAAAAACCACATGATAGGAGACTATCTTTTAATGCTTATGCTTACCTCTAAAGGTTTTAATCAGGCAATAGCGGTGGTATGGTCTTTATAGGATTGCAGACTGCTGAAGAGATGGTGGTAGACCCTCAGTAGGACTGGAGAGAAAGGTTGGAGTGTACTGATGGGAGATGCAGCAGTGAATGGAGAGCTGAATAGGGAGAGTACCCAACCCTGCCAACTTCACATTTTTGCTCTGCTGTACATATGAGATAATAGTTGTGAAAGTGCTTTGAAAAAAATGTGCTATTGGAAAGAGCACAGGCTTTGAAGTAAGGCAGGCCTAGCTTTAATTCCCAGCTCTGCTCTTGACTAGCTGTGTGATCTGGCCAAGTTACTTAAATTCTCTGAGACTCACTTTCCTCATCTGGAAAGTAGAGGATAATAATAGATCACTACTGAGTTTCTATGAGGATTAAAAATAATGTTAATACCTAACAATAGTCATTTGCTGAGTTGTAGGTGATGATAAAAATCATATTGATAGTAAAGAGATTGCCACTGCTTTTCACATATCAGCTTATCTAATGCATCCAAACAAAATTCCTCTCAACTTTTTGTATATAAACCCACCATAATAAATACAACTGCTCTGCAAATATTTATTGAGCACCCAGGAGGTTAAAGGCATTGTGATATTGTTGTGTGTGTGTGTGTATGTATTTGGGGTATGTACACTGGGTGAGGAATACAAAGATGAATCCACTTGGAGCTTTTTCTCAAAGAGTTTACAAGCCAGTAAAGCAAGCAAAATATGTATTTTAGTATTAATAATGCAGAAATCTCCTAGTGCTATATGTCATATAAGACATGCAGATAAAGTC